AAATCTTAACTTCCAAATCTATCTAATCTCGATAGGGTATAATCATGAAATGTTCCAACAAATTTCGTGAGTGTTTAGTGCAAGTTGAAAATCTACACCCAAGTGGGATGTCTCAAGTTGATATAGTAAGATTTCATCTTAATTTATTATGTTAGTTTTTTTTTTGTATCATATAAAAATTAACTGATTAATTAATTTAATATTTTATCTATATAGATGCTTCAAGCAAAACTTTTATACCATTAAGATGAAAAAAAAAATAATAATAATAATAATATTTTTGAAGTGTTGCAAAACAATATCAAGTGGCAAGATGTAGCTCTTATGAACATAGTCAAGTCAAGGACACATACACTATTTACCGATTCAGTCCCCGATCCCTCTATGGATAACTGCATTTCCTCTCCATCTCCTTTGTAATTGTGTATAAATGGAGGCTAAGGGGAGGGTTTGAGAGAGCAGAGCAAGCCACATAGAGTGAAATATGTGAGGCGGAGAGACCGTCTCTCTCGGTGTGAGCGAGGGAGACGGGTGAGTGTGTGAGTGAGGAGAGTGTGAGATCCTCCTCTATTGTAATCTTTCTGTAATATTTCCATTGTTATAGTGATAACCGGCTACTCTCCCGTGGACGTAGGCATTGAGGCCGAACCACGTTAAATATTGTGTCTCCTTGAGTGTGGGTGTGTTTTTCGGCATGGAATAATTTCTATAAGGTCTTGGGCAGGATCCCAGATCCCAACAGTATGAACTCAAAATAATTACAAATAGATGAAATTAAAAAACTTAATTGCACAATCTAATACATAAATTACTTGTCCTTTCATGACTTTGTAATTTTTTTGAGTTCATACCATTTTTATTTTTTTTTGGCAATTTTTCCTCTTTTTTTTTCTTTTATATTATTATATATCTCTCTCAAATGTTCTCTAGAAAAAAAGTAGACAAAAACCCCAAAAAAAAGAGAAAACTTGAAGTTATTTCCGAAGGAAGTTTTAATTAATGCTCTCTATAGCAGCATAAACATATGCCAATCCAATTTGGCTCACTTTATGTACCACAGACAACTAAAATGGCCCCAGACATGCAATGTGAAATCAATAGGGGTGAGCATAGTCCGGATTGGACTGGATTGAAATAAAATCAGGACCAATCCTGTAATTTTTTTGAGTTCATACCATTTTTATTTTTTTTTGGCAATTTTTCCTCTTTTTTTTTCTTTTATATTATTATATATCTCTCTCAAATGTTCTCTAGAAAAAAAGTAGACAAAAACCCCAAAAAAAAGAGAAAACTTGAAGTTATTTCCAAAGGAAGTTTTAATTAATGCTCTCTATAGCAGCATAAACATATGCCAATCCAATTTGGCTCACTTTATGTACCACAGAACTAAAATGGCCCCAGACATGCAATGCGAAATCAATAGGGGTGAGCATGGTCCGGATTGGACTGGATTGGGATAAAACCAAGACCAATCCGTTATCTATAGTTCCGTTTAAATTATGGAACCAATCCAAACTAATCCATTTAAACACGGCTTGGATCAGTTTAGGACCACGGATTCACATAATTAAATAACAAAAAAATATATATATAACACTTTAATTTCATAAAAACATAAACATAGCGCTATATTAATTCCACAATAGCAACATGTTTTTTTATAATAGTGACATATTGTTCTAGAATTTAAACAATCCTAAGAAAATTGGTTTCACCATAAAAATTTATACTATTATAAATTAAAACTAAAAATTAACAAACAAAAGTAATAAAAGAAGATATTATACAGGTTTAGGCTTGAGTTTAGGTTTTATATAGAATAAGAGAAGATACTATGAGGGAAAATGTATAATACAAATATAGACTATTTGCATACGGTCTGGATCAGTTCCAATCCGGAACCGTACGGTTCAATCCAGAACCAATCCGTGGACTACGGATTTTTAATTCTTTAATCTAGAACCGAACCACGGATTCAAAAAATCAATCCAAACCTATCGGATTGGACTGGACCGGACCGAATTACGAATTTCACAGATTCCTTGCTCAGCCTCAATACAACTTTTATCCATGGATTCATTTGTTGTAACATTCACCATTTTCTCAAGTTGAAAATTTGAAAACACTTGCACGCACAAAATTCAGTAAAGATTCATATCAAATTAGAGAAGAGTTTTTCAGAAAAATGGAACCATCACATTAATAGGCAATGTAAATTATAGTATCATCAAGAAAAAAGAGCCAATTTTTTTAGGGCACCTAAAGCTTGAAAAACTGAAAGTAGGGAGTATATCTTTAGTGCGGTATAGATGATGTGTGTATATGCTCTCTCTCGCTATGCAAAAGCACGGAGTATATCTTTAGTGCTCGTACTGGATTCAGAAGGCGGGCTGGCTTTAACAGTAGGTGGTTGTGGTGGTTTCTTTTCTGGAGGAGGCTTAGTTGGCCAAATATTGTAGTATGAAAAGATAACATCAAAAATTAGGACAAATATTTGTTTTTTTCTTCCATCAATAGTTGGCAGCTACTTGACGGTTAATTTGCTTTTGACGGTGGAATTGAAGCCTTCATCTTTGTCTTTCATTCAATTTTGGAATGTTGTGTCTAAATTTCTCATTCCCTTCAAATGTTTTGTCTAGGTTGTTCTAAAAATATCGGTGAAATTAGAAATCATTTTAATTCAGTTCGAATTATTAGTTTTTTATTTTATTTGAAAATAGTGGAACCATTCGGTCTGATTTTATTAATTTTTTATTAGTTTTTAAATTATAGATTTGGTTTGTTTTTTATTAATTTCGATTCCTGTTCTTGTTTCGAAAATTTTTATTATTTTCTTATAATTTGATATTAAAAATAAAAATATAAAAGTTACTCATAAGATTTGTACACTAATTTTGATTGTAAAATTGACATACTTTTACCAATTGAACTAATCTAATTATTGTTGATTTGTTTAACAACAAAAAATATACATCATGTTTATAGAATTAAAATCAAATCGATTTTTATGATTCAATTCTGGTTCGGTTTCGTAAATTTCATGATTCAATTATGATTCTAATTTTTCTAGAATTGTAAAAACTAATTCGATTCCTAATTTTTTCTAAAAGCGGCTCAATATGATCCGTGAATATGCTTAGCTATAAAAAATATTGCTTCCATCAAGCTGATAATTTAGTGAACAATTTTTCTTTTCAAATATTTAACCTGAGTCCATTCTTTAGGTTTTCTCTGATGGAATCTCATACTACAACAAACAACAGATGTCTTGTTCAAATTCAACCCCCAAGTGTTGCCAACTAACAGTTAAAAGGAATTGAAGATATATAACAAATAATTTAACATAAGTAAATGTTCTTTCTTGTTTGTATACAACAGATCTTCTACTCAGATCTAATAATGAGCCCAATAATGGAGGCCGAGTAACCTAAAGAACTACATAAGTTAATCTGGGAATAACATGTGCCTAATAATGGTTTTCTAAGACATTAAGGAAATCCAAAGTCTCATCATTTTGTCAATCTGAACACACACAGCTCATGTCAAGACACAGAATCAACAAGGACAAAGGGCCCAACGTCAAAAGAAAGAAGTTAACCTATTGCCATTTTTACATCCAAATCGCATCCTTTTTGACAAAAATAATAGGAGTTATATATGAACATAATTTCCATGAAAAATCCACATACAGAATAATGTAACCTTCTATGGTCATTTCATGAATGCTTTGTATGAAAATTCTGTTTGTAGATAATTTCCCAAATAAAAGTACATGACCCAATGCATTGAGGGGGGGCAGCATTTTGCTTCATAAAGAAACATGTGGTGTTGAAGTTCTTATACCTATGTATAACCTATAATGTTCCAAAATAGATTTCTTGTTGTTTGAGATGATCTAAATAAGTGTATTTTTTTGACTTTTTACAAAAAGATGTGTAGAAAAGTAAAAAGATAATGTGATCCAAAAAAGATAAAAAGTGTACTTTTTTAGTACACCCCAAACCAATACGCCTAAATTATGCATCTCTAGTGATAAAAACACAAGAAAATTCAAAATACACGCTTTATCCAGCGGCAACGATGAAAATTTAAAATTATTATTTTTCCATTAACAAATGGAATTTGTTATGTTCACCTACATCAACCACCACAGCAATTGATTTTTGTTAGATTAATGCTTCGGACCCCCACTGGGGTTGACCCCCAGTGAGGTGGCAGGTGCTGATTGGGTAAAAAAAAAACTGTTTTATTTTTTTATTTTTTTTTTTGGATTTCGGCCAGTGGGGGTGCGACACCTCACTGGGGGTGCGACCCCCACTGGGGGTATGCATCAGTGTTGATAGTTAAAAAGACTCCATAACATCAATGTCAGCCAACATTCAACCACTATAGAATTTTAAGTCCAATACAAATAACATCTTGATTGAACTTCAACAAAGAAATGTGTATCCAGGATAAGAATTTTACCTAAGAGACATCTTCGACACATTCATCAATGAACGTGAAAGATCGAGTTTGAAGCCCATCTCCCCACATCTCAAATTTATCAGTTGAGGTAAGGGCCTTTCTACAGAATGCAGCAAGGGCCTTCTCCCTCCCACCTGTCGGTGCTTTAAAACTGGATCCTTGTAGCATATCTCAGCGCACTCTCCCAAGCCTATTCATCAAATAGCAAATAACCCTATAGCTTAAATCCTTCAAATGATAGAATCAAGTACAATGACCATCAAAGGGTTCATAAATGATAAATCACAGATACTAAATTAATTCACCATCTCACAATTATTAACAATTAACATCAGTCTTGATTGGTCAGGATCAAAACAATTGAACAAAAGAAAGCTAACAATAACAAGATCTTGCAAATTGCTTAACCAAAATAGACCACATAAATGTTGAATTAGTAAACACCAACTAACGGACTCAAAATAAATAAAAACCAAAAAGTTGATAACTAAAAAGTAATTAAATACACCAGATAACATTTCTTTTTCCCATTTTTAATATTTTAAAACATCATCATGTGAAGATTTATTTTGTTGGTAACCAAGATGTATTCATAAGCCTAGAGTTTTCTAAATCAGTCGAAGTATGGAATGATAGTGTGGTGGCTCTATTCAGAAGATACCCCCAGTCCAATATGACTTAAAGTTAAAGGTCAAGCCTAGACCCAAACAAACCACTATATTCTTAAACTGCAGGAACTAACCAATTCATCTGCTAATTTTCCAGGTCATAAATATCCCATAACCTGGGACCTTTAAATAATCCTTATCAGAAAGTGAATGCAACAGTTCACTAAGGTGAAGAGCCAGTATGCCAATGTCCTAAGGTCCATACCAAAAAGTCAAAACCAATTTACTAAACAATCAAGCAGATCACAGGATAATAAGCTTGCCATCCCTACTTTCAAACTCCCCTAGAGAACTACGAACTTCAACATTGTTTACAAAACTGCCGAAAAAAGGCTGAATCCATGTACACACAAAATAAAATGCAAACCAAATTAAATTTCATACACAAAACTTAAACCTACAAAGAAATGTACAAAGGAATTAAAAGCTACAAGTAAAACAAACTGATTGTCTATTTCCCCAGGAAAAGTAACTGTTGTCAATCAAATAGAACCAATAAGTATGACAGGAAATGCTAACCAATTGTTAGATTAACCAAACAAGAAATCTATAACAAAGACCTTATCCCGATTATGGAATAACATTTTTTAATATAGTTATAATCTTACATCTAGATCAACATAAGAACTTCCGAAGTACACAACTTGATAAAATTTTATCTAGAGAATTTCAAATTTTTTATTGTGTATATACTATATTTGTTGGGAAAAAAGAAACGTGAAGTCATAACTTGTTTTTTGAGAATGAAAATGTGTATAATTCACAATTTATTTACTTGCACTTTTTCCTAGTTGAAATATTTTAACCCAAAAAAAATAATTCAAAATCTACACAGGTTAATCAAATCACAGTTTATTGTGCAGAATTATAAAACTTCAAATCTAAACATCAATTACATTATCTAAAAAGAGAGTAGCAAGGATTACAACATTCAAACTTCTATCAAACAGGGAAGGGGCAATGAGATATTGTTACAGGTACAACTAAAGAACTAACTTTTTTCTTTACATCCCAAACATTAAATAAAGAAAATGAACAGGTTTAGATTGGTTAATATTACATAGCTAATGGCTTGGATTCCAGGCGGTTAATAATTACCAAATCCCTTCCTTTGCCATTTTCAGAATTGGCAGAGGGTAATGTTTGGGAGCTCAACAGAACCCGCTTTCCTTTTCTTTATCCTCGTCATCTTCATTAACTCCATGCCCTTCGACTGTTAGGTAATGAAATTTTTTAGGAATATTAGGTAATGAAAAGAAAAAACTTTGGTGATTTTGTTCAAAGATGACAAATTTGATAACAGCAATTCACTTGATGTACAAATCTCCAAAGATTTGTAGAGAGTTGGGTTCTGCAGATTTGGTTGGAAACTGACCATATAGCTCTAGATAGCAGCATCAAATATAACCTTGATATTGATAGCCCGTGGAATAAATTTATCGGCTCTCATATGTCAAAACAAAAATTGAAAGTTATACCTTGGAGACGCCATGTAGCAACAGCCTATGAAAAGGGTCTTGAACATGCAGCTCCAGCACCTCCGTATCTCCACTCTCCTTGATGAAGGCTCGTATGCATTCCTATAAAGATAAAAATTATAGCTCCTTTAAATGACGCAAATGGAATGAAAATTGTTTTAAAAAATGGAAATTGATATGGCACATACATATACGAAAAGTATTGTCCATATTCATAGTGATGTATGATTTGATCAGATAATAACCAAGGAAAATCACATGTTGGAGGCTGCGATAGAGAAAGAATACTACAAAAACCTACAATAGGATTGGAGATGAAAGTTGCACGAATATATAGAGAAAAAAGAGTCTTTGGATGAGAAAACAGAAAACAAAGATTATGATTAAAGAAAACGCTCATTCATAAATATTCCAAATATCAAAAACAGTAGCTGTTTCATTAGAGGAAGAAAGCCAAGCATATTTACAGAGAAAAAAGGAAGACATGAACTTCATTCATTAGAGAAAAATCACAACAAGAAAAAAAACCAAACCCCTAGAGTTTCACCCTTACAGTAGCATATCTATACAATAGCATTTGAATTGAAACTGAAATTCTTGTTGAGCTAAGAATAGTTTCTACAATTTGAGATACAATTTTTTCTCTCTCTCTCTCTATATATATATTTTTTGAAGTAAGGGAAAAAAAACTGCAAATTTTCTATTTCTATTTTCATAGGCATATTAGCAAACATGTGGTGTGCATAATTTACACATAAATTAGAGTAAAGATAAACAAGAACATCGAAACCGCATAGTGGCACATCTTCGAAGACAAATAAGCATGGAAGCAGCTATCTACATACCAGATTGTCCAGCCATCTCGAAATAGCATTAAAATACAAATCTGAATGGAATTCCAGTTCGCAAAAACACCAATAGAAAATACAGAACATAGAGGAAAGCAGAACGTAGTAGGGAATTTCACACACCTGGTTGTCTGGTTGTGCACTTGTTGTTCTTGGTTTCAGCACTTCCTACGGGTTCGTTTGGTTTGAATTTGCCAAAAAATTTTGGGAAAATTTCTCTACAAATGAGTTTTCAGAAAAACTCAAACCAAACAAATTTTCCCAAAAAAATTTCCCAAAACTTGTAAACCAAACAAGTTTTCCAAACAAATCTCTCTCTCATACACATCAAATCAATCACTTTTTTCAAAACTCTCTCTCAAAAATAATTTTCCAAAACATCTTTCCAAAAAAACCAAACCAAACAACTTTTCGTACTTTTTATCTCCCAAACTCATCTCCCAAAATCAAACCAAACAAGCCCAGTTTTGCCGCTTCGCCGCTACAGCCTGTGAAGACACCTCAGCATTTGCCCAACTCAACAGCAACCGATACACCGCCATAGGATTGAGATGCAATAGGCTACAGCAACGGTGGCAATTGCACACTTCCACAAATTCAAGTTGGGGGCTTTTCCGTGGCCCTGTGGGTCGGTGAAGGCTGCTCTTCAAAGGGGCAAAATTTGGGGCTTTCGTATTTTGTATCTTAATTTTCAAACTATGTTAATTTGTCCGGAATTCTCAAATTACGCTAAAGCACTATTAAAAGTTGCATTTTTACTATTTGGTGTTTAAATTATGATGAATAATGAAAGCGTTATTATAAATCACGTTTTTAATTAAAAAAATGTGATTGCATATCACGCTTTTAACATAAATTTTTTTTTTAAATAAAACGCTATTTGAAATCGCACTTTCACTCTGCATTCGTTTTCTAAAGAAAACGCTATTTGAAATCGCGCTTTCACTAATTTTTTTTTCTTAAAGAAAACGCTATTTGAAATCGCACTTTCATTGTTGATAAATACAAGCGTGGATTGAAACCATGCTTTCATTGTTCATTTATTTATTTATTTATTTTTTTTTTTAATATTTTATTTTTTTTCCTGTTCTCATTGTTTTGGTGATAATGTAATTCATAAAAAAAATTTGGCTTTACTAAAGCTATTGTCATGTTGAAATTTTATTTTTTTTTCTTTTGTCTTTGTTTTGGTTTAGAAAGTGTAATTCAGAAATTTTACATAACATGAGAAAAACCTCTTCTTTTCAATATATTAATTTGTGTTACATCATATGAGAAAAGCCTCTTCTTTATATATTAATTTTACATAATATTTTTAACTAATTACCAAGCATTTGGGAATTAAGCCAATTTATATATCATTTAAATTTTTATGGGAAAAGCCTCTTTTTATATATTAATTTTACATAATATTTTTCATATATATAATTTTAAAATCATGTTCATTTACAAAATTCATGCTTTCACTGTTCACTACAGTAAGCATGGATTGAAACTATGCTTTCACTGTTCATTTAAATTATATTTAATTTTTTTTTGTAAATTTTTTTTTTCTGTTGTCACTGTTTTGGTGATAATGTAATTCATAAATTTTTTTTGGCTTTACTGAAGCCATTCTCATGTTAATTTTTTTTTTTTCTTTTGTCTTTGTTTTGGTTTAGAAAGTGTAATTCATAAATTTTTTTTGTCTTTACTAAAGCCGTTTTCATGTAAATTTTTTTTGTTTATTGTTTTGTGTTTGTTTTGGGTTAGAAGGTGATAATGTAATTAATAATTTTTTTTTGCTTTACTAAAGCCGTTTTCATGTAATTTTTTTTTTCTTTTGTCTTTGTTTTGGGTTAGAAGGTGTTATTCAGAAAATTATTTTGGCTTTACTAAAGTCGTTTTCATTTAAATATATATATCTATTCTTTTGTCTTTGTTTTGGGTTATAAGGTGATAATGTAATTCAGAAAACCAGTTTAGTAAAACCGTTTTGTACCCGTTTTCATTAAAAAAATAAAAATTTTTCTTTCGTCTTTGTTTTGGGTTAGAAGGTGACATGCATGCTCTACAGTCTGAAGCACACCCACACACTGTGCAGTTCGACGAGCAACGACGAAGGGTGAGATGCGAAGAGCACCGCGAAGTAGGCCAAGAAGACGAAGGCCACTACGAGAGCTCCTAAAATAAATTTTGTCAACATTTTTGTAATAAAACTTAATACATAATATACGAAGTCACTAATTTACTAAATACTCATACAGGCATGAAAACAACATAACTGAAGTTGCAAACGTAATAGTTTTCAGTTACATAGGTAGTACTGACATAAGTCTCCCACAAAAATACATTCTGGACACCATGAACTGAACACACATTACATACATCCTGGACACCCTAAACTGAACACACAATACATAAACATAACAGTTAGACAGACAAACACCTAATTCATGACCTAATATTGCATATTAATAGCCCCAACATTTGACAGACACAATACATAAACATAAACATAACATAACAGTTATACTTAGTCTAACACAGACATTGCATATTAATGCATGACCTAATGTTGCCGAAGTGTAGACATTTACACCTAATTCGCGCTTAAATCGACAGGTGGCTCAGAGTCTAAATAATCCGAAAGCTCAGCGTCAGAGACAAGTTCAAGATCCTCCATGATACCCTTGATAGCCGCAACATTTGGTTATGTTTTGTTCTTCTGGGCATCTTTCTTAACTATGTATAACTGCATATCGCGGGCTAACCTACGGTGTATTTAAGAAATCTCACGTCGTAGTCTTTCACATAGTCGATTAACATTATTAGGATCTTCCTTTTGGAACTCAACAAAACGTGCTTTTGGCACCTTAAGTTGATTTTCCCGACTTAAGGTTTCCAGCTGTACCCGCTCTATAAATAGTGCGGACCACTTGAGACGAGCAGCGTCAGATAAACCATATCCTATTTGATTGTCAGATGGCTCCATACATGAACCTCCTTGAACTGGATAATACTTGGACATCAAAAAATGTCACTTTCCAAACCTATCATGATAACCACAAGCATAATCTAAAACAGGTATTCCCACTCCCTCCCATGAATCGTCTTCAGCATCGCCACGGCCCCTTCCCCCTCCTCGTCGTGAACTGTCACCCCTTTGCAAGTTCCTACCACCTCTGCAATTCCCATTCCCTCCAATGAATCGTGTAGCCATGCTAATTTTTTAAAACAAATGAATGATAATTTCGTAGAGCGAAATGAGTTGTAAGGTTGTGTCTTCACCTTTAGTCGTTTATATAGTTGGTTATGAACGGCATTAGAAAAATGCCTCTGCATGACAATCCCACATATATGAACAAGGTATGAGTTGTCACTAGACTGAAAAAACAGAGAAAAGCAAATACTGTGTACCAAGTCACGTGACATGACAATCCATCTGCATATACGAACAAAATAAGGGCATGCTCAATGTAAGGTAAATCAGTGAATTCACTGTTGTCATGTGACTTTCTGAATTGAGAATCCCACATATATCAATAAGAGATGAGTTGTCACTGTAATAAAAAAATCGAGCAAAAAATCGAGAAAACCAAAGCCTGTGTACCAAGTCACATGACTTCACAATCCATCTGCATATACTGACAAAATAAGGGCATGTTCACTGTAAGGTAAATCAGTGAATTCACTGTTGCCATGTGACTTTCTGAATTGAGAATCCCACATATATCAATAAGAGATGAGTTGTCACTGTAATAAAAAAATCGAGCAAAAAATCGACACGTAACTTTGGGCCGGTACCGCATCGCGTTTCATTGACCATGGCTTAGACGAAATGAGTGACTATGAGAAAAACGAGTTAGCAAAAAGAAAGGAGAACAACAGAATGTTGATCAAGATGTCGACATTCATGCTCAAGCTAGCCACCGAAATGGCAGAAGCAAGCAACAAGAGATTTGACAGTGACTAAGCGAAATAAGCCTAAACAATGAAAATTCTCTCTGACTACTATATGTCAGATGAGGAATAGAGAAATCAAACCACCGGTTATCTTTCATATATGTTTGTATGTAGTGTGTGTGCGTATCTTCGTTACTGGAGTGTAAGACGAATGTTGTTGTTCATCTAACGTACGATGTATTTCAAGTATTTATTTTATGAACCTAAAGTTTGAAATAACTACATTTATAACTACACATTTATTAGTTCATAGACTTTCTTTATTGAATTGCAATGATAATGAATGTTCTGGATTAATGAATGATTAATGTATGTGAATTATGTGAATACTTAAAAACACATAAAACAGAACAGGTAGCTCGGTGAAAAGCTTTCCTTAACTGGGGCTCGTGAAATAGGGATCAATTTACAAAATTCAATCTCCATCAAAAGAGAAGAAAAAAGTCACATTTCAATTCCTGGAAGTCCAGTAAAAATGATGACTCTGGTAAGGAATGGGTGGTTGACAGAAAACTAAACTCAGGGGCTGGACAAACAAGCTCAAAGCCAAGTGGTTGGTCCAGTTGGGATATAAAGTTCAGAAAAACGAACTACCGCCTTCAAAACACATAAAACAGAACAGGTAGGTCGGTGAAAAGCTACCTTAACTGGGCTCATGAAATAGGGATCCTCTACGTAAAGAATTTCAATCTCCATCAAGAAAGAGAAAGAGTCACCTTCCAATCCTGGAAGTCCAGTAAAAATGATGACTCTGGTAAGGAATGGGGGTTGATAGAAAACTAAATTTCGGGGGCTGACAAACAAGCTCAAAGCCAAGTAGTTGATCCAGTTGGGGACTAATAAAGTTCAGACAAAACAAACTACCTCCTTCAATAACACATAAAACAGAACAGGTAGCTCGGTAAAAAGCTTCCCTTAACTGGGCCTCGTCAAATAGGATTCTCTACGTAAAGAATTTCAATCTCCATCAGGAAAGAAGAAAAGAGTCACCTTCTAATTTTTGTAAGTCCAGTACAAATGATGACTCTGGTAAGGAATGGGGGTTGACAGAAAACTAAACTTTGGGTCTGGACAAACAAGCTCAAAGCCAAGTGGTTGGTCCAGTTGGGGGACTAAGTTTAAAACCCAATTGGTTTTACTTGATTTGGTTGGATGAATCACTATTTACAATTAATTATACCCAACAAATGTTTTTCTGCACCTTTTAAAGAAATTGACGA